TCCCTGTGACTGGCTCCTTCCTGCCCCGTGTCAGTGGTCACTCAAGCCAGCCAGGCTCTTGTGACCTCTCGTGACAGCTCTCACAGGCTGTGTGGGAGTCGGAGGCTCCAACACCACGCCCCGTTCCTGCCATCTGAGATTGTGTTGGCGAAGCCACCTGGCTTCTTTGTAAACAGTTCTCTCGGTCCTTGCCTTGAGACTTCTAAAATGGCCTCAAGGCCTGCGAGCATGGGGGACAGCAGGCTCAGGTTCACGTCCAGTGCCTTATCTAATGCCTTCCTAAAACAGCATCAGCGCTTAGAAACCCTTTCCTGCGGAAGCTCGGAGTGCTGTTCCCAGCCTCCGTTCAGAAGCCGCGCCCAGCGCTCGAGGAACGTGCCTGCTGCTGGGTTTCCAGCAGCCTTTGTTCTCGGTCCTCGCAGTGTGCCAAGGATGTGGTGTAACCGTGGCCTGGCACAGTAGGATGCGGCCGGCACTGCTCCTCGGTGTCGGGCTACAACCAGAACGTCTTCTCAGGGCTAGGCCACCTGCACTCGGAGGCCCGGAGCCACCGGAGAGAGCAGTTCCCCGGGCCGCACGGGTGCAGCCATCTCCAGCGACGTGTCAGGGCCCCTGAGGGCTGAGTCTAAGGGAGGGCGCGTACCAGCCCGGAGGAAAACGCGGCCGTGTGACCCGAGGCTGTGGGGAGCACACAGGGCCAGGCCTCGTGGCAGGCTTGCTGCAGGGACGCAGGGCCGTGTGAGCGCCCTGGCCGTGTGCAGGGCCACACAGCCAGCCTGCCTCCCAACACCGGAATGAAGACTGAGGGTTCTCTCCTGGGAGTCCACACGCAAGCCCTGAGGCGGGCCCAGGAGGCTCAGGCAGACCAAAGAGGAGCCCTTGCAGGAGTGGGGGGCAAGAGACCGCGTGGCCTTCGGGGCAGGCATCCCATTCTCACTGCCTTGCCGTACCCAGCCAATGCTCTGAACCCTCTGGCCATTAGTCATGTAGACAAGACAATGAAGAGAAGAGTATACAACTTCCTGGTGTGGGGAAATTCCCATGAGGGGAGGGAGTGCACTATGCTGCGAAACGCTGAGCTGCACGCGGAAATTTTCGGCCGTTTTCACAGCGTGACCTTTTCCCTGGTAGATGAGCACCGTGTCTGTGTCAGACTCAGGCCCTTGCAGAGGTCTCCTTCCAATGTCACATTTCAAGAGGCGGGACCAGCAGATGGCATAATGGCTATGTCGCTGGACTCCCATGTAGCCGACCACAGTTCGAGTGCCGGACCCAGTGGCTTAAATTCACACTGGGTGCGTGTATGTGCATGCCCAAGATTCTGAGAGGAGAATGGAGGAGAAGGGATTGCGGCGTGGCCATTCCCCTGGGGGGTGATTTCTCGCTTTCTGTCTCTCTGTCTCTCTGTCTTTCTAGCAAGCACATGCATCCTGTAGCAAAAAAAAAAAAAAAAAAAAAAAAAAAAAAAAAAGGGGAAAGCAAACCCCGAAAAT